CCTCCCACCCCACCCCAGGCCCCTCATAGCCCCCCCCCTTCTGAAAGTCCGGCATATCTGATAATCCGGCATCCCCTGGGTCCAAAAGGTGCTGGATTATCGGAATAATAACTGTATCAGTCTTCAACTGGGGTGTTTCCCATCTCCAGATGGTAATGATTTATGAATAGTCTCATGCTTACTGTAAGACTGGATTAGGCTTGGTACTGCCAAGACGTGGTATTGCCAACACATTTTGGAATGAAACACTTTTCCATAAGGGTATGAAAGAGTTTCAGCTGAACACAACTTTCGGGAAAAATCTCTAGAGAGAGAGAGAACTAAACAATGGGAGAGTTGGCAGTTGTGAGACACCTAGACACCTCCTGATTACCACCAGAGGACTGATGGAAACACCTAAGACTGAACATGGAGAAGGATCAGGCCCAAAGTAGGAGGCTGCCAAGTTAAATCCTACTTTTTATTTTTAATGTCACCCTTGTGTTCAACCCAGTGTAAATAATGGTTACTGGGGCAGAAGGTGAGGACTACAGCTATGCATATTTCTTTCACTGATAAAAGAAGCAGACTTTTGAGCTTGCTCTGTAAAAATATTAGTAAGAAGGATTGATTGACCTGGGTGTTCTGGTTCTGTTGGGGCTGTGCTCCTGGACATTGTGTGAAGTCCCTATGACTGAGCCTTCCCCAAGCTGAATTATCTGCTCTGGGCTGTGACCCCAACTCTGTGCCTTTGCTGGGGGAGACCACAGCTTTTGGATCAGCAAGACAGAGTAGTGGAGCACCCGAGAGGGCAAAAAGGTGGACATAGTAGTATGATGAACCCATCAGATGACCATTTTAAGTGGATCTCTGGAACCCATCAAACTTTTTACAGTAGAATCTTGTCATGAAATGTAAGTAATTACTTAAGAGGTGAATAAATAGAAAAAGTAAAATACAGTTGTTGGAGGCTGGGTCAGAGTGCCTGACAGGGAGGGTGCTAGAATGAAAGTGTACAGACAAAACAATTTTCACTTTCTCTATGTAGCTGGCTGTTAATTTACAATTACCAAATGGATGGTGTAAGATCCACTGGGACCTACTTTAAATATGATAGTCTAAAAGGAAATGAAGATGGATAATTTAAATATGGAGGCTTTTGCTTCTCAATACCAGCGTAAACCTAGTTTACAGTACTAGGTGATTAGAAAATTCAAGTAATTACTGAAGTTCTTCTGTGACTTTTGTAAAGGAAGGAGGACAGTTGTCCATGTCACAATATTTTACTTTCAGGCTGTTTTTCTGCTGCTCCTAAAGATTTTTGGATTAATTTGGGTACATCCGGTCAGTATTAGAAAACTCAAATCTAAGGTGCCTCTACTGTTGATTTTAGTGAAGACTTGGATGAGTCATGAGTATACTTGGGGGAAAAATGAATGGTATGCTGTGGATCGGAGGGGGAAAAAATTAGTTTATTGATGCCATTACCAACAATTTTGTTGGCTTTCCCAGCTGGGAGTAAACTGTAATTCTACAGATGTGAAAAAATACTGGTATTACAAACAAGGACACTGAAGTGTAAATGGAAAAATACCATTGTGAAAAGGAAAGCCTTTATTTTCAAGATCCTAAGCAAAATACTAATATGCTACACTAAGAAAATTAAACTACTTAAGTAGCAACTTCCTTCTTAGTATGATAAAGAACAATTAACCTTTGTTTTACCATAATACCACAATAGCATGAAGTGTCCAAATAGTTTAGTTGCAACTTCCATAGTATTCAAAAACCTTATTACAGCTAACTACAGTATTTGAATAAGAATGGCCATACTGGGTCAAATCAAAGATCCATCTAACCTAGTATTCTTTTTATAGTGGGCAATCTGAGATGTCTCAGAGGGAATGAACAAAACAAGTAATCATCAAATGGTCCATCTCCTGTCGACCATGCCAAACTTCTGACAAAACAGAGGCTAGGGACACCATCCCTGTCTATTCTGGTTAACAGCCATTGATGGTCCTTTCCATAAATGTGTATCTCTCTTTTTTGAACCCTGTTATTTTCTTGGCTTTCACAAAATCTTCTGGGAAGGAGTTCCACAGGTTAATGTGAGAGGAAATAATTCCTTTAGATAGTTTTAAACCTGCCACCTATTGATTTCATTTGGTAACCCCTGCTCCTCCTCCTCATTCTTGTGTTCTGGAAAGGAATAAATAACTCTTCTGTATTTGCTTTCTCCACACCTATTGTGAAAATACAAATTTGGCAATCACTTTTATATAAAAACCTACAACACAACTGCTCTTGTGAAGACAATCTTGTAGAAGACTGAACTTGAGATACATACTTATAAACAAATTTGAATAATATTAAATCAAGAATTGAAACAACTTGGAATTATGCTCATTTTCTAACTCACCTTCTCCATATCTCCCTTTTTTCTGGAAATGAATGAGGCCTGGTCTATACCTAAAATTTAAGTTGACCTAGCTACATCACTCAGGGCTATGAAAAATATACTCTGTACAGTATAGTTAAGTCATCCTCAACTCCACTATAGAGAGAGATTCCACCTTGCTAGTAGGTAGATTTACACACCAGCTGAAAACATTTCCATTGCTCTATTAAGCACCTACAGCACAGCAGCATACTTGCCAGCTGTATTCTTGTAGTGCTTGTATGGCTGTGGGTATGTCAAAATTACAAGGCACCAAGAATATTCCTCCCTTCCCCTCCAAAAAAAATTATAAATACTAACACAAAAAGCTTACTTTTAGCAAGACAAGTGTCAGCTGACATTTACCTCTGAAAAATAAGTTCCTTTTGTCCCCTCACCCCTGACTTTTATCTTAACAGTGGCATGTCATATTTTCTAGGATCAGAGGAGAAAGGAAGAAAAGGGGAAGGTGCATTAGGTATCTTTCAGTGTGTTACAGAAATGCTGCAAGATTTCACGTTTGGCAGTCTCAGTCAATAGTTTTATGGAGTTTTGAGGTTTTCGGAATGCTTTGTAAAATCCATTCCTCAGAAGGCTTGTTTCTAACTTTCTGCCATTTTGTCAAGGACAAGTAGAGGTGCAAGAATTCTGTTTTTGTTGGTTTCCACGATGCAGCCATTTAACACCATTTCATCCAAAATGATGTGCACTCTATCCAAGTTGAACATTATCTAGAAACATTTCAAGTTAAGTTATTTTTACTTACAAGTATTGAACTGCATGACGACTAATTCAGAGGAAAATCTTACCTGACTTGGTTTTAAGCATATCACGTTCAAGTCTGATTAGAATGTACATGTGTAGGTATTTGTAAATCTGCCCTGTGAGATTAGGTTACATTTTGTAGCACTAATACCCGTGTCAAATGTAATGTTTTTCACCTTGTTATGTGTTAGCCACATGTCAAAGTGTGAGTGGGAATGTATAACTGCAGTTGTCTTCTCCATTAGAGAAGTTGAGGCACTGACATTATGCCATAATTTGAATGATTAATCTCCAGGCAAAGTCTTTACTGTAGCCTTGTCAGAGTTCAGTTCCAGCTGATGGATTTTATGGAAAGAATAGTTTAATACAGATGGAAAAATGCAATCAGCAAGATACCTCAAACTTCAATGTGACAATGAATAATGCTAAGGGAATGTCTACACTGCAAATGGGACAGTGCCTACCAGCCAGTGTAGACAGGCATGCTAGCTGTCATTCAGTGAGCACGGAAGTTGCAGTGTAAATTTTGCAGTACAGGTGGTGCCACAGGCTATCTGAACATGCACATTGCTAGTGCACTAGTAGAACTAGCATGAGGGGGAGACTGCCCAGGTTGGGAAGTATACTATCAGCTGTGGTGTAGACCATAAAAGCATATCTGTGTACTCTGCATTTCTGGTAAATAAGATTCTTAGCCTGTTAATTTGTGACTGATACCAGCATTTTCAAGTCTGACTATTTTACATCCTCCTCTCCCCCTTAACTGCTCTTATTTAGTCTAATGGAATGATCAAGTTTCAAACTTACCTACTTCTATAAGGTGATATGCTATTAGTTTCTTGTAATTTACACAGAAAAAGTGTGAAGAGTGATTTCATTAAATTACAATCCTTTACTAAGGAATAGAATTTAATAAGAGTTTCATTTTAAAAATGTTTAATGTACTAAAAACCTTCAATATTTGCCTAGTGAAATGAGGCAGGTGAAAGATGATTCATCTGAAGTTATTTGATTTAGGGATGTTATCTTATAGTTGAGTAAACGATTAACTGGTATGCCTAATCTTTACCCAGTAATCCTGTTGAATACACCTCCTCTTGCTGCCTCTGTATAAGAGGCAGCAAAGGGGTAGGGAGTGGGAGGTGGTGCTTGTGAGGAGCTGGCTTTAAGCAGGCTCCCTATGCGTACCACATTCACCTGCCCCGCTCATGCTGCTGCCTCTGATAGAAAGGCAGCAGTGGGAGAGTGAGGGGGGCATGCTGGAGCCAATGTGTGCACTGGCTCCTGCGGGACCCGCTTTCCCTCGTCTCCCCCCCCACCCAAAGAAGGGGGGGGGGAGCCATCTTAAGAGAGGCAGCAGCATAGGGTGGGGGTGGGGAGAAGGCAGAGGCTGCTGCTGTGGACTGGCCTCTGTCCTGAGCAGGCCCAGGCTCACTACAGGTAGCTGCTGCCACCCCATACTACTGCCTCTGGTTTTTAAACTAGCTCCACTCTTGGACCTGCTCCCAGCTGCCACCCCATGCTGCTACCTCTATTAGAGACATCATCATGGGTTGGCATGGGACTCCCTCGGAGTGGGACCGGAGTGTACTGGCTGCCTTCTCTGCCCTGCTCTCTGGGACTACTGAATAGTTGTGTAATGGCTAAGATTTCACATGGTTGTATGACTATCAATTGCACGATATCCATCATGTCTAATATAAATATGGTCCTTTTGTGCTATCTGAAACTTCTCCATTAACTTCTCTTACCTGCTTCAGCTTTGGCAAATCAATGACAAGTTTAACATTGGGGGGGAGGGGGATCTATACATGCTTTCTATTGTATTCACTGAACAAATGTGATTTCAGAAAAGGGGTTTAAATAAAACATGTTCTGTTTTTCCTATTTCTATTCTATGAAATGGGAGGTTTTTTATGTCAATTTCTAAGGACTATGGCTGCTTCCAGCTTCAGCACCAAACTACAGGGGAAGAAGATAAACCTCTCTTCTGTCTTGTCTCACCTGTTGCCATTCTTCAGTCTTTCACTCTGCTCAACAGACCAATCTTAGCTTCAGCTTTGCTCCCTGTCTTTCTTCGCTGTATGTTGGGGATTGTTTATTGCTCTGGAGCACAAAGAAACTTTACATGCCAATTTGCAAACTCATCTTTCAACCGTTGGGGGATGATGATGTTTGTTTGGTGTTTTGTCTTTACTACTGGCTCCTTGGAACTTGCTTGCCAAGAATGTTATTTGATAGTATGACCAGAGCTCAAAGAAAGGTGGTCACATATGGTTCTTCTACCCTATATTCACACCATTGACAGCGTACTCACTCTGCCCTAAGTTTTTTTTTTTTTTTTCAAAGGTCCTTAGGGTATGTCTATACTAAAAATGCTACAGCAGCACAGCTGTCATGCATCAGTATAGACACTCTATGTGATGGGAGGGATTCTCTTGCCACTGTCATTAACTCATCTCCTGGACAGGCTGTGTATAGGTTAATGGAAGAATTCTAACCTCTACCTAGCACTGTTTACACTGGGTAGGTGGTTGGCATACCGACATTTTCAAGTGTGTGGATTTGTTATCCCCATCTCAGTTCAGCTATGCATATGTAAGTTGTTAGTGTAGACCAAGGAGGGTGTGGTTCAGCATCTATTTTGCACTCTTAGTCAATAGCAGGTCCAGATAGGGAAGCTAATGATTCAACCCATGGCTTAGATTCAGTGATGAATGCTGGTCACATGACATCAGAGGCACATTGTGCATAATGTGAGAAATGCAGTCCAGCCCTGAGGGGAGCAACACTTACGTACCTTAATGGCTTGAGGTACATTTTTGTTAGAGATGGAAGTGGTCACATTTTTCCACATCCAACATGCTAGTCCCTCCTTACCAAGCAACATTCCATTGCTACTCTGCCCTCATTCCAGCACCAGATGGCTCACCTGTAGCCTGAACTTGGCTAGCAGCTACCATTCCAGGGAGATTGCATACCTTGATTTAGTAGTGTCCCAAGGGGTGTTCACTCCCGTTTCTGAAGCAAACTCCACACTTCCCTTCACAATTCGCTTCCCACCTCTTTTTCCCATGCTGCTCTTGGCAAATATTCACCTTCAGACAAGGAGCAGTCTTGGCTCATTTTTCCTTTCTTGCAAGTCTCACAATGCCTGTCCTCTGCTGTTACATTCTTCCATCCACATACACAGGTATTTCATTCTGCTTATGCCCATGCCATGGTGGGGACAGCTGTCTATCATTGTCCTTGCTCTTCTATATAAACACCCCCCCTTCTATTTGACAAAGCCCAAGGACTACGTCTAGACTGGCATGATTTTCCGCGAATGCTTTTAATGGAAAAGTTTTCTGTTAAAAGCATTTACGGAAAAGAGCATCTAGATTGGCACAGATGCTTTTCTGCAAAAGCACTTTTTGCGGAAAAGTGTCCGTGCCAATCTAGATGCTCTTTTGCGCAAAACAATACCGCGTTGTTTACACTGGCCCTCTTGCGCAAAAGCATTTGTACAAGAGGGCTTTTGCCCGAACGGGAGCACCATAGCATTTCTGCAAGAACACTGACAATCTTACATGAGATCGTCAGTGTTCTTACGGAAATTCAAGCAGCCAGTGTAGACAGCTGGCAAGTTTTTCCCGCAAAAGCAGCTGCTTTTGTGGAAAAACTTGCCAGTCTAGGTGCAGCCAAGATGTAAATCATTGAACTGAACTTTGTGGTTGTTGGGAAGGTGTGGGAGGATTTCTGCTTTTCAGTTTTCCTGACAAATGGCTGACCAGACCTAAGCATCCAACTCCAGGAGCAGGTTCATGGCTCTGAATCCTAAGTTGAGGAAGGTGCCTCCTTTCAGGTGGCATTTACATACCTAGGCTCAGATCCACAGGGTCCTAACTTGCACTGATTTCAAAGGATGTTAGGTTCCTAGACACCTTTTTTAATCTGGCCTCTAACACCTTTTGAGTGGTCTCAACTCTCAGCATTTGACTCACCAGCTTAGGCACCTCCTTGTTCAGTGTGCTGCTCCCACTCTTAGGCACCTAGTTCCTCAGGCATCATATGAGTAGTCTGGACTCTTGACTCAGGATTGTGTATTCTACTTGGGATCACAACAGCTAAACACTAGGCAATGAAGTACCTGAGTCCCCCTTGTGAATCCCAACCCTACAGTCCTCTAACATCTCTCTACTTGGTGATGTTATTACCCTTCATTAAGTAATTTCTGGACTAGGTACTGGCATGGAAATTTCAGTGTCTGAAAACAATTTCTGTTTCATGAACATCTCTGCCTCTGGAGGCTATTTTAAAATGATTATATCTCCAATATTAAATAGAATACTGGGTGTACTTGTAAATTCCACAATATTTGTCAGCCTAATGTTGGTACACTAACCCTTGGTTCTTCCTCTGCTCATACCTTCTGGATGGAGGACTGAAAACTAATTCTCATGCACATGGTTTAAATCATATTGGACAGCTGGGACTTTATCGACCAACACAGGAAGGTGCCAATGGGTCTTGCTGTCTGTATAGAATCTGTTAGTACTCTTCCTTTCCAAGTGCAAACTAATGATTATCAGTCTCTTAACTATCTAGTCTTTAAGGTGTGAATAGACTATTTGTTGTTTTTCCTGTTACAGACTGGGTCCGCTTTCCCTTTGAAACTTATCCACTCACTGCCTCTTTCTCACCCCCCCTCTCCCCCCGTCTCCCCCTTCATTCTTGGTTCTTGACATCCAACACTCCAGTCATCGGAAGATCCTCCCCCTCCCTTCTTGGTTCTTGACATCCAACACTCCAGTCATCGGAAGAAGTGGGCTGTGCCCACAAAAGCTCATGATACCATCTATGTGTTTTGTTAGTCTTTAAAGTGCTACTAGAGTATGTGTTTAAGTTCATCATTGTGAATTTGCTATGAGAGTCAATACATCATGGCTACGTCTACACTGGAGGCCAGTGTAGACGTAGCTCA